AACGAGGGTAAATTTAATATAGTTGTCCAAAAAATTCGTTATATAAAAATTCGCTATAGAGAGGTATGACTGTAATGTTAAAAATTTAGATGATATAGATGATAGTACAAAAGTTCTAACTGTTAGTATTAAATTAGTATTGAAAAGTTTAGAAAATATTTATACATTTTTATTTAAACAGGTGAATACAAATGAATATATAAAATTAGTAGATAAAATTAAAAAATTTATTAAAAAGAAAAAAGCAAATATAATAAATATAATATAACAAACTATTTTAGATCAATATTTCAACTAATTTATTCAGATAAAAGATTTATAATAAAATTTATATTTTAATTATTTTAATTAAATTTTATTTATTTATTTTTTTAATGTTTGTATTATAAAAATCTTTAAAAAAATATTTTTCTATAAATGCATACCCTTTATAAATGCATGCTTATACTTAATCTTAAGAAGATGCATTTATAAAGAGTTGACTGTAATCAGATTTGAAATAAAAAAATCTGTCTTAAAAATTTGAGTAATTAAAAAATAAAGTTTATTTTTTAATAATAAAATCTGTCCTGAAAGTTAAAGATAGTATTAATTATTAAAAAAAAAAATTAATTATTATTATTTTTAATAATAAATCAGTTTTGCTAATTAGAGATGACATTTATTATTAAAAAAAATTTTTTATTAATTTTTTAATACTAAAATGCCATCCTGAAATTAAAAGGTAATATTTTCTATTAAAAAAAATTAAATTATTATTATTTTTTAATAATAAATCAGTTCTGCTAATTAGAGATAACATTTATTATTAAAAAAAAATTATTATTATTATTTAATAATAAAATCCATTACAATAGTCAGAGGTAGCATTTATTTTTAAAAAATAAATTTTTAAGTTAGAAGTTTCATAATAGAATTATATAACTATTACTACTGTAATAATATTTGAAAATTAATAAATTTATAAAAGAAATAGAAGTGTCTAAAATTATTTTTAATATTTGTTGAGTAATTAGTAATTGCTGGTATTTTTATTTGTCAAGTAACTAATTACTTTTTTTATAATTATTTTTTAAAAAGATAATTAATTAATAGTAAAATGGCAGAAAAATGAAAAAAAATCATTCAAGCATTGATTAAAATCATCTTCATAGTACTTGTTTACCAGTTTGAAATTGCATTGATAGGGATGTTTGAAAACGCTCTAATTAAAAATTATATTAAGTAAAAATATAAAAGTTAATTTAAACTATTATATACATCTTAACTGACATTATATTCAAGATAACATTTTATTATTTTAATTATTAAAACAAGTAAGTTGAGAATAAAGAATAATCATTTAAAATTAACATATCTATAGAGTATCATCACCAAATAAAATGGGATTTTTATATATTAAGCATTTTGATTAAGAATTCGTGCAAAAAGTGCAAAAATCAATTTGTATTTGCAAGTTCTTGATTTTTTAATTTCAATAATTTGAAATCCTTCATTCCTGACAGTCCTACGGAGATTTATGATAGTAAAAATATATTTAAAAGCAAGGTTTGGAGCACCACAAAACTAATTCCTATATATAAAAAAAATAACTTTAACGTGACGAGGTATCTTTTGTTAAAGAGCTTTTAGAAGTTTTACTTTATGTAATTATCCAGCAATTAAAATTTAAATAAACTACGTCACATTTCATTGAAATTTTTTTTTGCGTCAAATTCGTCTCTAGTCGCAATTTAAATCTTTATTCAATATTTGGTCACACCATTTAATTTAATAAACAAAGAACTGAAAATCTTCACATTTTTGGATTGTGTAGCACTTTGATGATTCTTTTCTGTTACATAAAAGTAATAAATAACATTGATTCAGTATATCAATGATTCATTTTGGGACGAATAAAAAGCTGATAACATTTTCAATTCCAAATTTCATTGTCAAAAATAAAAGGTTTTTTTAATTATTATTTTCTCACGGTTTCAATGTATCCAAAAAAGAAATCATAATTAAAGGATTGGTTAGTAATTTAAAATGATTTATTTAAATGAATGATTCACGACAGTTTTGTAATTTTATGAACTTTGATTTTCTCACAAGTATAAAGATAAAAGGAAAATTTTGATTTGTATATAATTAATTTTTAAAATTAAAACATTCGAATTGGCCTCGAAGAAATCGGATCTTTTTATATTTAGTTCGTGATGCCCAAACGTAATTTTAAAAAAATTATTTTTAAAATTTTAAGATACTTGACGAAATCTAGAAAAAGATTTAGATTAAATTTATATCACAAATATTTAATCTTTCCTTTACTCGTATTATTTAAAATAAGTTTTACAAAAGAATTAATCATCACTTTAATTCATTCGCTCATTTCTGATAACGAATTTAACGCGAAGAAACATGATAACTTACTTATTCAACAATTAAAACCTCTAGTAATTGACAGTGAAGATAAACATGAGGAATCAGTAGATGAATATCCTGAAGGTGACTCATGCGTAGTCTGTAAAAAGCCTTATGATAGTACCCTCTTTTGGTGCGCTGAATGCGATCCAAAACGACTTCAAGACGATTTTTCAAAATGGACGAGCGGGAAGCAGGAGTTGGATGAATGTATAAGAAGAAGTCAATTGAATGCCGTTGGACACAAAAATTATTTCGAATGGATCCCGTTTGAGAAATTTAAGGATATTAAAAAGATTGGAGAAGGAGGGTTTGGAATCGTATATTCTGCCATTTGGATTGATGGTCCGAAATGGAAATGGGACAATGAGAGACTGAAATGGATCGCTTCTGGTCCTAGGAAGATTGCTTTCAAAATTCTTAAACGTAATGCTATGTTCAAAGAATTTTTAAATGAAGTGAGAATATATTTTTATTTTTTATTTTTTACTTTTTTTTTAAAAAAAAGGATAAAATATTTTTAGCCTGGAAATTTTATTTATGTAAATGTCTATTATGTCAGCTTGAATGCCATTCTCTTTGTGTAAGTGTTAGAAGAATCGTTCATTGCTTCGGTGTCACCCGTGAACCATCTGGATATTATATGATGGTTACTAATTTTGCAAATGAGGGTAAGTTAGTTGGATAGAAATCGTCACTCGATCTAAACTAAAATGCATATTCTTAACTAGGTGATTTAAATTCATATATTAAAAAACGACATCAAGACTTGAAGTGGGAACGTATCATTCGCTTGTCACGAGATATCGCTAAAGCTCTTCGAGGACTTCATAGAAAGGTAAACGTAAATTGTTTCTTACCATACCGTTACAACATTTTAAACTTTTTACGTTATTATTCAGGGCCTTATTCATCGCGACCTTCATAGCGGCAATATCCTAAATCATGTGACATGCAATGGAATCACATGGACTTGGCTTGGCGACTTGGGATTAAGTGTGAAAGAAGAGGATGTTGAACGTCTAGTGATGGAGAATGGACCATTGTTTGGAAAGATTGGATATATGGCACCTGAAGTGCTTCGTTGCACACAAATATATACAAAAGCTGCAGATGTTTATTCTTTTGGAATGATACTTTGGGAGTTGACCTCTTGCCGTATGCCATTCTCCAATATGAGACAAGATATTCATCTTATTTATGAAATTATTGATGGCAAGAGACCAAAGGTTGTTGAAGGTACTCCACCAGCATTTGCTAAACTTATCGAAGATTGTTGGCAATCTGATCCAAATTTGCGGCCGACTATGGAAGTTGTTCATAAAAGGATTTGGTCATATGCAAATTCAATGATCAAGGGAAATCACAAAGACAAATATGGATTTCGAGCGGCGGAGGAGAAAAGAAGTTTAAATTTGCTGAAAATGGTGACGATGAAGCAAGTGTATCCAGTTGTTATAAATAGTCAACAAATTCCGAAGCCACCATCATCATTTGCGCGAAGATTTAATCAAAGTGGTATGACGATCTTAAAATGAAATTTGCTTACTTTAAGTTCGATTTTTTTTAACAAAGAAATTTTATTATCTTGTTAGAATATATTTATAGACAGAAACCCTTAATTAAATCTAATAATGGAATTAATCAAAGTGGTAATGTTTCTGATCATTTAGGAAAAAATTTTTCCAAGATTTTAAATTTAATTTATTTTTATTTTTATATTCTAGGTTCTCACGAATATAGTTGTGCAATTGGTAAGAAAAATTTATAATAAGAATATGTTTAAGCAATTCACTTGTATAATATTAAAAAATGTGCCTACAATTTACTAGCTTTAGATTCTCATGCTAATGTTAATAGTCGTTGCGAATGATTGCATAAATTTTTTCATAGGTAAAACCATGTTTTTTGTTATATGTTTTGTAAATTTTTTGTCATTAAATACTTGGAATTTGTAATTTATATAAAAACAAAAGCGCACTTGATAAATCCAACTATTTTATTAAAGAAATTGACGAAATATATTATATAAAAATAATAAATACATGAAACATTGCAAAAATATTATTTTGTTAGAAATTATTATAAAAAAAAAAGGAGCAATTTCTTTTCCAATAAATCAAAAACTGTATATAATCTTTAATGAAGATAAACGAGAGTATTTTCATCAGAATAGCAAATGGTATATTAGAGCATTGCGGTTTAGCCTCCCATTTGGAAAGATTCAGTTATAATAATATTAAAATAAGATCTTTTAAGAATTTTTTTAGAAGAACATAAGGAATATACCAAAACAATCTCTTACAAAAAAACTCCAGTTTAACTTGCTGAAATTCTTATTGTTGAAATTATTAATATCTAAATAAGAAAATTAAAATTTTTACTTGTTAGTAAATATAATTGATGTAATGTAACAATATTTTTTTCCTACTTCTATCAATGCATATCAATTTTTGATTAGGAATTAAGAGCAGTAGGTAGAATTGAAGAATAATAGTGATTTTAATCTTCATTAAAGACTTGCGTATTGATAATATTAGATGTAATGATTTTCCATTTTTGGATGTTTTTTAGTGAACTATATATCTTTTTAAGAAGTTTAGGCAAAGGTCTTTTATATGTTCATTTGATTGCTTACTGAGAATCATTTTCTTCGCAGTTGTAATAATAATGTTTTGAAGTACATTCCAACAAAAGTTAATACTATGTTTAAATTGAAGATAAGTTAGATTAAAATCTTTGATAGGGCTTATTTCCAGCAAATTATCAGAAAGGTATGCAAAGTTTTCATTTATCTTGAGTCATTTTATCAATGTCAAAAAAATGATTTTTTTATAGAGGAAGATGGCTGATTAGTGTATCATTATAGACAGTCTAAAGATGTTAAAAGAGATTATGATTTGACAGATCTGTTAGTATTAAGAACTGTGATATTATCTGTGTAGTTAATTCAGTTAAATAATATGCGCAATTTATTTTACTAGACGTATAACCAGTTCAGTAAAAAGTGAAAAGTCTTATATTTATGTCATCATAACAAATATCACTAATATTAAATAAATTCTATTATGCTAAGATATAGAAAAATTATTAGAATGTTTTAAATTTCTAAGCCTTTTAGGTTTTGCATTTAAGTCTTCAATAAAGATAATTTGAATTGACTTTTTAAAGGAATCAATAATCTTATTGTATAATTTTTTCCTTAAAGAGTTATTTAAGAAAGTGATATAAATATTGATAATATAAATACAATACTTGCTTTATAATTACAGATTTATATATATTATTTAACCTTAAAATTCACCATAGTATGTATTTGAAAATTTTTCTTTAAAATCAAAGTAATACCTGTTTTCTGATTATTTAAATCTGGTTATATATTAAAAAAAACACAGTAGGATTTGTCAAGATTTTATAATTGATTGGTGAGTTTGGAATTTAATGTTTTGTAAAGTGATTATATCACAATTATATTGTTGATATAGGTTTATTAAGAGTTGTTGTTTGCTAGGATTATTTAAAGAAATAATGTTATAAGTGGTAATATTAAGAATAGTAATATAGATTGTGAGTATAAATTATTAATAACATCAGTGTCTAAAAAATCTTTAGGTTTGTTAAGAAAACTGATGAGGATTCTTTAGCTTTCATAAAGATGGCTATATACTATTATTATTAAAATAGATGCTGTATTCTATATAATTTAATAAGAACTATTTAATAAAAATATATCATTTTTTTAAATAAAAGAAGATAAAAAATGTTAAAATTACATAATTTTTTACTAATATACTATAAATGAAAAAATTTAATTTCTGAATAATTATGCTAATGAAAAGTAATTAGTAGAAAAGGGAAAAATCCAAATTTTAGCCAAAATTTATATTATTATACTATTTGGCTAATCTCTAGTTATATATACAAAATTAGCTTAATAATTAAAGTTAACAAAAATTTTAGATTTCTTCCTTTTCTACTGATCATCTTCCATATGATAATTACAAAATAACAACCCTAACATCATTTTAAAAAAATAATAGATTTATTTTGTCAGTTCATATATATTATTAATATACTACAGTCAACCCTTGATATAACGAATTTTATGTCCTGAACTTCAACTTCGCTATAGAGCTATAGTGAATTTTTTAAAGAATTTGATTGGCTAGTTCGTTATAACGAGGGTAAATTTAATATAGTTGTCCAAAAAATTCATTATATAAAAATTCGCTATAGAGAGGTATGACTGTACTTAGATAAAAGTAGGTAGATATCATATTTTATTAATTACTTCAAAAGGTACATAATAATTTGGGCTGAAATTTAAACACATAATAATTTATGATATAAATAAACAATGATGTAATTGTTATTTTATTTATAAATAACCATTAAATGTGATCGATAAAATTAGTATTTATATTACATCATATTATGTATGATTTAACAGAGGCTGAATGCAATTAGATTATTAGTTTATTTAAAGGTGATACCACCAGAAAAAATTATTAAAGTGTTCAGCTTATCTAGAATAGTAGTTTACTGAATTATTCAAATCTTTTGTGAAGAAAAAAGTCTTGAAACTCAGTCACGAAATGATTGTTCTAAACTTTTAAATTGTGAATACTAAAAAACATTAAAATAATTGTCAAACAAATAATCATCAATCGGTTAAACAAATAAAAAATAATTTTCAAGATAAAACTAACTATAAGTTTCTACTAAGACTATAAGAAGAAATTTGCATAAACTTAATATTTTTTCATATATTTTAGCGTTCAAACCTCTTCTTAGTGATAAATAAAGAGAAAATCATTTAAACTAATATATTAAAAGAAAAGACTGGTCTATTAGAAAATGAAAGTCAGTTATTTGAAGTAATAAAAGCTGCTTTACTATATTTAAAAATAATAGTTCAGGTTGTGTTTGAAGAACTTCTAGAACAAGATTTAATATTTAAAATATGACTCCTTCAATAAAACATGATAATGAAAATTAAAGATGAGCATCATAATTAAGAAGTTGCAACCAGGTAAGTTGCAACTTGAGTTGCAACTTGGTTGCAATTCCTTGTAAATTTGTTTTAATATAAAAATTCATAAAATGTTGTAACTCAAAGTGTTGCAACTTAAGTTGCAACTAGTTAAAAATTTAAAAATAATTATGAAAACCATCTTTAGTGAAAATGTAATTATGTGAGGTTATTTTTTAGGACAGAAAATAGGATTACTTATTAAAGTTAATGGAAAAATGAAATATTGTGACTATATTCAAATACTTGAAATACAATTACTTCCTTTTATTATTAATAATTATAGTGGACAAAGGTATTTATTCTAAGATGACAATGCTCCAATCCATACTGCTAAAAATTTTAAAAAATAGATAGAAGCAAAAAAAGTTAAAATTTTGAAAAATTGGCCAAGTCAATTACTTGACTTGAATCCAATTAAACATTTATAGTTAGAGCTGAAAAGACACATTAGAAAACATTTTAAATCTGTAAAAAATGTAAAGGAATTGAAGTATACTTTGTATGAAGAATGAAATCAGATTCCTAATAATACATTAATTAATTTAATTGAAAGTATGTCACATAAGGTTGGATATGTATTAAGAATAATAGCTGACCAACTAAATATTAGTTTTGTATATGACTTAATTAATAATAGTTAAAATTTTGACCTACTTATTTATGTAAATTTTTTAATAATTAATAAATATGATATCTGTTTACTTTTGTCTAAATAGTATATATGACAAATAATGGGTGACAATTAGCATATTTTCTAATAAATAATATTTTAAGTTTTCAGAATAATTATAAAATTAAAAAATAGTCAGATGTAATAAATATCTAATCCTAATTCCCTTACCCTAATTCTAATTCTAAAGCTTATACCCTAATACTAATCTTAATACTAACACTAATTCTAACCTAATCGCAAATAAATCTAACTACCATTTTTTTAGGATAACATTATGTAAAATATTGTAAAATCTCAAAATCATGTGATTAGTCCAAACTACATATATTTATATAAAATAAAACTAATATTTTAAAATTTAAGTATAAAATTACTTAATAAATATATTATTATAATATTTATTTAAAATTAAATACAAAATAATAAATGATTCATTTATAATTAAAAAATTTAGAATATAAAAAAAATAAATTAATTTATAAACCTAAGAAATATATCATAAAAAATATATTAATTGCTTATTTATAATTTATTAATACATATTAACATAATATAACATTTTAAATTAATTAGTTAAGAAATTTTTTTATTTTTATTTTATAACTATAAACACAATTTCTTTAGTTACAATTTATGTATTATTTATTTCATGGAGAGTTAGGAATAATATGGTTTTTTTTCTAAAGGGAAAAAACCATGGTATTCCCTTTTCATGAAATAAATGTATAATCTTTAGAAGTGTGTCATTTATTAAACATAATACGTGATTATATATGATTAGCGATTTAAACTTTTTTTTGTATTATTTTTTTCTCATGCTTTTTTTTCTT